GGGGTTGGGCAGCGGAAAGAGGGTTGGGGGGCTGGTAGGGATCAGTCATGTGTTGTTCTCTCATGTGGTAGGTGGGCCAGGGCCAGTACAGCTGAAGGTCCCAAGGGGACCACACCCGTAAGGGGGAGCAGCTCAGGGAGCTAGGCAGCCTAGAATTTCATAGATTTCAGAGACATTAGGGCTGGAAGGGACCTCAGAAGATCATCAAGTCCAGCCCCCTGACAAAAGGGCAGGAAGTCAGCTGGGGTCATAGGATCCCAGCAAGATAAGCATCCAATTTGCTCTTGAAGGTGTTCAATGTAAGTGCTTGAGCCACCTCCGATGGCAGGCGGTTCCAGACCTTGGGGGCTCGGACAGTAAAGAAATTCTTCCTTATGTCCAGCCTGAAACGGTCTTGCAGTAGTTTATGATCATTTGACCTTGTCATCCCTTGGGGCGCTCTGGTGAACAAATGTTCCCCCAGATACTGGTGGTCACCCCTGAAAGACATATAGGTGGCCATCAGATCACCCCTGAGCCTGCGCTTTTCCAGGCTAAAAAGCCCCACGGCTCTCAGCCTGTCGTCATAAGGTCTGTTTTCCTGACCTCTGATTATGCGTGTGGCTCTTCTCTGGACTCTCTCAAGCTTCTCCACATCCTTTTTGAATTGTGGGGCCCAAAACTGGATGCAGTACTCCAGCTGCAGCCTCACCAAGGCTGAGTACAAGGGGAGAATGACGTCCCGGGATTTGCTTGAGAAGCATCTATGGATGCAAGCCAGCATTTTGGTTGCTTTACTAGCCACAGCATGGCATTGCAGGCTCATGTTCATCTTGTGGTCAATGATGACCCCCAAGTCTCTTTCTTTCATAGTGCTAGCCGGTGTAGCACTGCCAAGCCTATAAGGAAGCTGCAGGTTTTTCCTCCCAAGGTGGAGAACCTTGCATTTTTTGGTATTAAACACCATCAGGTTCTCGTCCGCCCATTTGCTGAGTCTGTCCCGGTCAGCCTGGCTCGCCTTCCTGTCTTCTGGCATGGATGCTTTGCCCCAAAGTTTGGTGTCATTGGTGAACTTGGCCAGTTCGCCTCTGACTCCAATGTCCACATCATTAATGAAGATGTTGAACAATGTGGGCCCAAGGACAGAGCCTTGGGGGACCCCACTGGTCACAGGGCACCATGATGAATTAAGGTGGAGTAGGCCGCCTGAGTGGAGGGATCCAGGTGGGGGCCAACCTGGAGGATTCTGGGGCCCAGAGTGGGGCCAGTGATGTTTACAACAGAGGATGTGAGGCATGGGCTGCGGTGTAGGGGACGTATGGAGCCACAGATAGCACCCCCTGGCATCGGGGCAAGAAATGGGCAGCCTCTTGCTTAATTAAGAATAATTAATTAATTATCATCAAGGCGTGGTGGACAAGAAGGCAGGTTGTTAGCACAGAAATAGGTGGGCGGGCCACAGGGAAATCAGTCCAGAGAAGGCCCCCCTGTTACAGTCCCCATGTGACCTGATGTCATCAAGCATACACACTTGTCCAACATCGCTGTTCCCTTATTAGGAATATAAACTCTGTATCCTGTGGTTCATTCTTTCCGCAGAGATGCATTATGACCATATCATCACCAGTGGCAATTTGTTGGCTGGACCATGTGAATCTCTAGTTCCACAGTTGTCTCAGCATTTTTTGTATTTGAGATGCATTGACAGTGGCAGGAAGTCTGTGAGATGAGAGCATATAAAGGCTATGCTGCCGGTACCTCTTTTTCTATTAGTAAGAGTAATGCTTAGATCTTTTAGATCTTATCTACCATTTGGCATCATCCAAGCCTGTTAGAAATGGTCCTCCTCACAGTTCCTTCTGGGACAGGGAAATATCATTTCATACTAAGGGAAACTGAAGAACTTTTTTTACTGAAACGGGTGGGGTTGATACAACTTGCTCAAAACTACCTAGAATGTCAGGCTCAGAGCCACAGTTACTATTTAGGATTACTTGGCTCATAAACCTTCATCCTCTTAAGACAGCAACTAGTGATTTCTCTCTCTACTTCCTCCTTGCAGCGGCTTTGTCCAACCCACAGGGTACCATTTCCTCTGAGGTCAGCTGGGTTTGGAAGTGCTGTTTCCAGTCCTCCAGCTCATGCAGTCACTTGAGCTGTGATGGGTAAGATTGACAACACATCTGTGGAGCTGAACTCATCCTCCGAGGTGAAGCAAGCAGCCCTTGAGGAATCTGAGTCACTTGCCCAAGAAGCTGGCGGTGTCCAGAAGAAGAAAGAGATACCAGACAGAGGTTCTTGGAAGGGAAAGTTTGACTTCTTGCTGTCATGTGTGGGCTATGCCATTGGACTGGGCAATGTTTGGCGGTTCCCATATCTTTGCGGCAAGAATGGAGGAGGTGAGAGTGCATTGCCAACCATGTACTCTTTGTTTTGGCCTCCACCCAGGGATGTAGCTAGTGCTCTGAAATGGGTGCCTGCACTGGTTGATCTGCTGGCCCCTCTCCCCTTCATTCTACACATAATCTATTGACCCACGTCAGCATAAGGTGCTTAAAAGATGAGGTCAGGAAGAAATAGTTACTTAAGCTTTCCCCTAGGGATGGAGCTCAGTGCATTGTATTGATAAGCATGAATTAAAAATCATGGCAGTACTGTGAGAGGGGTGAGTATTATTGACTCACTTTCACAGATGGAAGAACTGAAGCACTGAGAGACTAAGGGACTTGGAAAAGTCATATGGGAACTCTGAAGCACAGCTGGAATTAGGGTCCTTCACTCCAAGGATCCATTCCATTTCAAGTTCTGTGCATTCTTATTCTTTAGTTCTGTTACAATCTCTCTTTTCCTTGCTGGTCCCCTCACTATCTCTTGGTTATCTCTAGAGGTGATAAAGAAAGATGAGCTAGTGGTAATAGGGCACTGAATAAGGATTCAGTTGCTTCATTGACAGGGTTTTTACCAACCATCTGCAAACTTTTACTGAGAACCAACATTTTTACTGACATACATTTTATATAATGTACATGTAAGATTTCTGCCAGACCCTGGATAAGGATCAGGTTCAGACCATAGTAAAAAAATTTGGTTGTTAGTAAAAACAAACAAAACAAAGCATTTTCTTAAGTTGGCAACCCTACTTGACTTCAGCAATGCATGCTGACCCCACCCAGGGGCCTCTTACCCCCACACCATGGTACTACCAATTGCACCCTGCTGCCCCCTCAGCTCACCCCCT